ATTATATTCATGATGGTTTCCTCGATCGCTTCTTTTTCTTTGAAATGTAATAAGAATTTCTGATTTGCAATATATAATACCATTTATCGAGCATATGAAAATTCCGTTTGACTGTTTCAGTTATTCCAACTGTTTTAACTTGGTTATAACCATTATTTGACAATCGATCATTTGATATAAAAGTACAAGCACGCGGTAAAAACATACTAGACTGATCAAAGATGTATCATCAGCTCATCTAGATGTGAATTATTCAATCAATCCACAGAAATTGACTTTCGTGAATCATTTACAGGAAGAAAAGCGTTTGTTCGTATTGTTGTTCTCAATTGTCATTGTTTTCTTTGTGTGTACCATTCCAGCGGCACCGCTGACCATATTCGTCTCTGATCAACGCTCCAAAGACTTACTCTTTCAGGTTCATTTTTCACTTGTCTTCCACTATTTTTGTCCAGTCATAATCATTTAACTTTATGAGCGTGATCGATCCACATTCCGTTTATTCGAACGATGTTTCACCGAAAAAAAAGCTACAGAAAACGATCAGCTGCTATCAACCGAGCATTTCAAAGGATTTATACCTTTGCGCTCATATGACCGCGATATTGCAGATAATTAGAGGAATAATAAATGTTATGGAATTCACAAAATTCGCTTTGAATTTCTACTTTTATTGTCTCATCAATCCGAATATACGTTGCATATGCCTGCACATCATCAGGTGTCGAAAACTATCTAGGACTCCTCGACTCAAAGGTGGTTTGAATGTTTTGGTTGTAAATGTTACGATCATTGAAATTCCGAATTTATTTTGATAGTAATTACAGTTGAAATCATGGATAAACTGTGGAACCATTTGTAGTGGTTTGGTTATTGACGCATTTACTGGCAGCTTCCAAATTTCAGGTCAAACAGTAAATGTGATGTCACAATATTCTCGTTCGACAAGGTCAGTGAGGAATGAATCGAACAGTAATCGTTCACATTGTCCTGATGAACAAAGTACCGCTCCATCCAAGAGTAGTGTCATTTCGGTTGCTAAAGTACCGCTCCATCCAAGAGTAGTGTCATTTCGGTTGCTAAAGCGAAGTACTTATTACTCAAATTTATTGGGGCATTTTGTGAATGCTCTTTCAGATTCTTGAAGAAAGATGTTGTTCATTTTGTATCACAAGTTAACTTTCCGGTTATTGATCCGAAAAGGGACCTTCCGATTATAACTTTAAAATTCTTTTGCCAAATTCATAAATTAAAATTTAGATCAGCTAAAATATTAGCGGAAATAATTGGCACAAATAATGATGCTTACGGGAAAATGACAATTATTCGTGAAGGTGATAATATGAACGGTGATCCGAATGAGAGGACAAGTATGCTGTGACATGTTCGTGAAGTTCAAATTATTTATATTCTATGCATTTGGTCATTCTTTCAATTTGTATTGGATTATGTATTATAGTATATTGTTGTCTTGTTGTCTTTGTTGTGAATATTGTGACTTTCAATGAACCTTTCGCAATCGTCTGGCATTCATTCGACTCACCAAATGTTTATTTGACAGTACTGAAAAATACCCCAACGATCATCATATGTTCTTGCGAAATATGAGTTGAAGATGCTGATAATTTCTATCATCGAGGACAAGAGACTCGGATCCGCGACGGACAGCATTCTTCCCTACTTTAACAGATCAGCTGCCGGCTAGAGAAAAGTTGTTAGGCACAGCTGGTGTGATTGCTTGCTCGCAGTTCATTTTCATATTTGAAGGAGCACGATAACAAGATCGGAATCTGTAGCGGCATTTATTTTCGCAGTTTTGAGAGTTTTGACGTTCTTGTTTGGTTCAGCATTACGTAGATATGATAATTCTATGATTTTAAAGTATGACAAAGCAACGAGAAATGAAATTTCTAGCAACGTTCTCAGTGGTTTATCGCGGTTGGAGCATTCTAATGAGTAGGTGCTCAACAGTCTCGAATTCAGTGTACAGATCGATCAGTTAGTTGCTTCACATTTTAATAAATATTCACAGAATGAGGTTCTTCTTTATGTTGAGAACTCGTTCGCTTGTGAAGCGCATTTCATAAAGAATTTATGTGTAAACTCGTAAGATTATTACACCATTATTGTACAAAAATGAAAGACACTTCATACAATCATGTACCAAAAATTAGAACTATTCCAATCATCTACACAACACAATAAGTGAATATCGTTGAAAAAACTCTACAATATCATGGAACATCATTCAACTGATCTCGAAGAAGCTCCTGGCTGGTTTCTTCATAAAGTAGCAACGCAAAATTCCCGCTCATCATTCCGGAAGAGCAGTTTTGTGGAAAATCAGAAATCGAGGGAAACACTCAGAATCAGAGAAACAAATTTGAATGAGTCGCGTACTTTACAGAATATCAGAAAATAAACATGTGTACCAAAAACTGTCGAGGAGCTTCCTTAGTAATATCACAATGCGAAAGGTAATAATTTAAATAAACATTCGGAATACAGGCAGTTGTTGATATGGAGGAGAGGTTGTCGCCTCTCACACGATTTATCTGATGCATGTTATATTAATTGCCGATCAGTGGAACTTGTGAAACATAGTTGTTAGTAGTGTACAAGAATTGTGGTACTGTTTTTTTTTCATTTTAAATGTATCTTCAAAGAGAAGCTTGGCTCACTAAGAAAGCTTATTAAAAGCAGACCAACCAAATAACTGAACTATCAGTAAGTCGTTAAAATGAGAGCATTCAAATGAAGAGGACGTCAGCAACTCATTCATGCAACCAGTTCAATTCTGAGAACGGTTATATGGGTGGAGAGTTACGAGTGCGTGAATAATATCAGTATTAAGCTTACTGGATGGAACCAGTGCAGCATGTTCACAAACGCACTGAAGAGAATGGTGTCTTTGATCGGAAAGGTGATACTAAACAATTGAGCACAACAAAAGTACTCAGCAACATCTGCGCAAACCAATAATTCGTTTCGGTAACTCTGTAAGAGTTGAACCTCAAGCACCACTCAAATGAACATTAAAGCATAACTCGTTTATAAGACCTACAACGATCCCAAATAACAACAACAAAAAAAAAAACAGATCAATGGTAGCGATACGAATAATCAACCCTATTCACATAGTACACATGTATGTATATTCTAGCTAATCGGTAAGAATTTTTGCTCTTCTTCTTCAAGTGATCGTGCATTTGCGATTGCACTCGAACAAACAACATCATCACCAGAAGCAAATCCATCTTCTGATTTACATTCGGATGCCTCCGAGGAACGTCCAAAGCATGGATAACCGCCATTTGTTGGGGACGGCGATGTGCATGTTCGTTTCCTGGAATGGAAACAATTGGTGAGTAGTTCGTTACGGAATGCGATTAGTTGATAACCTAGCACTTTCACGCATCACGCATAAACTATCAGGATTGTTCTGCAATATTCATCCACCAAGTGGAGTGTCAAAGAATATTGACCTATCTCATGAAGTCTGTTCATCATTTGCAAAAACATAGTCAAATTATCTCACTGATCTAATTTATAAGTTTAAATGATAGTTCATTTCCTTCAAGCTTTAGACCAGTGGTTCTCACGTTTGGGTGCTCCATCACCACTTTTGATGATCTGGCAAGCCGCCGTTACAGAGAAAATTAGTGTTCTGTTGCTCATTACTGCAGTCGATTATGACTGCATGAAGAACTATTGTCTATGGCACGCTCACTTCAAACTGATTTAGATGGATTCTCATTCTTTTCGGACGTGTTGCATTCGCTTTCATAGCTATTACATGCGAATATCGTTCTCTTTTCGATTTTTTCTCATTCACTTCCTATCATTTCACTTCGCAACTTCTCATTCTGTAGCATATACTATTTACAGACGACTGTTAACAGTGGAAATCAACAACGCTGCAATCGAATTGAATTGCTCAACAACGTTCGACAGTCGGATGATCAATTATAGAATGCATTTTATAGAATGAGAATTTGACTTAAACTGTTGAGTGAAATGAATGAGAAAACAGCAGAAGAGAGCAGTTCTGGTGATAAGAGTTATGAGGGCGATTGCAACAGCAAGGAAAAGAATAAAAACCCTGTTGAAACAAATGAAAACCCGGACCAGCTGATGATACTCAGAAAATAGGCGAATGAAGAGTGTTGCCATCAACTAACCGCATTTACAAACTCGAGTTAAAGAGCACCATGGCGTTTTATCATAACATAACAGTTGCACGAAATGCTAATTTCCCTACCCTCTCCATTAACCCTTGACACCTCCAAATTACCCAAACGAGTAATTTCACCCCTATGAGAACCATTGCTTTAGACGGTATCCGACAGAAAATAAGACAAGAAAATGAAAATTTAAAGTCGTGATGTGTAACGGATTGGTGGAAAACTCAGAAAAATGAATAGAACTGAATCGAAATAAAAATCTGAAACGAGGTAAATTGCAACGAACAAACCGATATTGCATAAACGAAATAAAAAGTATTGCATAATTTGTGCTGCATGCAAGAATGTCATAAGAATACTGATTCAGCTTATCGAATCTATTTATCATTTGCAAATCACATCATCAAATCTGTCAGTCCAATTGTGCGCTCATTTCCTTACAACTAACGCTATTCTAGATATTGCTGAAAGCGAAAGCAATGTTCCGTATTCTCAATTTTGTTTCAGTTCACCAATTACGAACTTGCTTAAAACGCATTTCATCTAAACTTTTGTGAGCATCAATTCATTTGTAAGTGAAACATCTCAACATTCCCCTTAACAATTTCCCTTTTTCACAAATGCACCTTGTTTTCGATCCAGTCCCGCAGTTAGCAACACAAGACGTCCATTCACTCCATAAAGACCACTGACCATCAACTGATCCTTAAAACTTCGTTAATGATTCAGTTTCGATGAATTCTTCGAGAATGAATCATAGAAAATGTTTTTTGAGTTGCTGAGAACAAATAGACGATTTGAGCTGAAAATACAATACATGCTGGTTGCAGAAATGAAAGTGACTATGTGAGGTGATCACGAAATGAAGAACATAAGCAAATCTCATCTTTCATGAAACGAATACCTTTGCAAAAATCAGTTTTACACAATGAAGTCATATATGCTAAACCGAAGCAAGGCTTTCCTTTCGCCAGCGGTCGAGGATTATCGCAGAATCGGTGTCTTGATTGGAATGCAAAGCCACAGGTTGCTGAACAATCGCTCCATGATGACCACTCTCCCCATGCACCGTTTTCAGCTGCAAGTTTTGGTGCAATCATGCAATCATGCAAAATGGTGCAAACCTACGAAGATGTCTTCCGTCCGTAGGCAACTTCTCGAAAATGCATATGAGTAGTCGATGATTTTCAAGCACTGTTAATAAACTAATCAGTTCAACTGTTGCAACCACCGTCCATACTTTCATGAAGATCAATTTGGAAGTGGATTTCGCTCATTTATGAGCGAAACTACTGACAATATGACAAAATAGAACCACTTTTTCGCAACTAGCTGACCGTCGGTGTCTCAAGTAAATTCTAGAATCTTACTGAAACCTATTGAAACAGTCCATGCATCATGCAAACGAATTAGAATAACAAAAACATAGGAGAAGGAAACACACAAATAAAACTTTAAATATCGCAGGATAACAAAGTTCAAATGTCAAACTGATCTAAGTTGACCAATTGAGCAAAAACGATACTAACATTTTGAACAGGATGAATGGTCACTGCATGGTGTGAATTCATAATCAGAACCGTAACACGTAGTTCCACCGTTTGAAGGAGGTGGGTTCGAGCAGAACCTGAAAGCGTTTCATATTTTGTGATAACAAGTTTTGTTCTCGTCACTCCTCAGCTAATTGATGGATTCTAATGTAAAGTGGTGGTCATCGGCTGCATTCTATTCCAGAATGTTTGCAGTATGCCATTTCTCAGCAGCTCATATGTCCCCAGCAACAGCATTAACTCTTCTCTCAAAGATAACGAAAGTCATTGACTTCATTGCGGAATAATGAACAAATCGTCGCTTTTCAATACGCATCTGCACTGGATCGAACAGAAGCAACGGACTAACATGTTGAATTGATAGAGAACTGCTCAGTTCGTGATAATGAGAAATTTGGATCTGAGTTCGAAGAATTCCGATTCTATGTCATGTAATTATCACTGAGATTATGCTGTGACTAACCTCGTTCTTGTTTTATGACCGGTTGTGCAGTTGTCAGAACAGGACGACCATTCAGACCACTCGCTCCAGGCGCCATTCACCGGAGTTCCAACACAGGCAACGTTCGGCGTGCAAACCCGTTGATCGAATGAGTATCCGATACAGTGTGAGCCTCTGCAATTTAATGAGATTACTGTTTTGCAAAAACTCACGACTTTTAACAATATACTCAAAAAAAAATTGGGATGAAAAATTAATGGAGTGTCTTCAATGTGATACGGAATGAAATGGTCATCAAGTTAGAAAGTGACAACTTGAAGTTTAATCTGCTTCACAAGGTTATTGATAACCATACTCTTACGGTGAGACAGAAGAAAGCTGAGATTGCAATAAGGAAAAATAGTTTTAAAAAAGAAACATACCTATTCGATGGAACTGGATTTGAGCACATCCTATTGCGAACTTGATGTCCTGGGGATCCGCATTCTCTTGAACATTTACTCCACGAGCTCCATTCTGACCATTCTCCATTTTCTGACACTGAAACTCATCAGAATTCCAACGCAGTTTTGTAGTCGTGACAAAATTTTGTTTAGTCCGAGTATCTAAGCTAACGAGCAGAGGTCACAAACTTACCTCCACCTTTCGGGACGAGATATTTATCACCTTATAACCATTGGAAATTTCAACACCACCGGATAGATATTCAAACTCAATGAGGTTCATCAGTAATTACGACTGTTATTGATCAGAACATTCTAGGAATGATTGAAGTGAACTTACAGCAAGAAGTGGGTGTGCATGAGCGTTGCTTTATTGCTGGTCCCACGCAGAATCCTTGAACAGCCGGATCGAGAATTTCACAATAGCGTCTTTGGAACTGATTCATCGTAAAGCAACTGCACTGTGACCATCCACTCCACTCACTCCATCTCGGTTCTACAAAATGCCCTATTACTATGCTGACAATAATTTGACTATGCGATTTGCGACTACTTTTAGAATTGTCACATTTGTTTAACCATCACTTTTCATTAACACCAGCTTTCATATCAAGCAT